AAGGTATCAATATTATCTCTAAGTTTATTATATATATGTATGTATGTATATATTTATATATATGCTTTATGTCATGGTATTAGTGGTCATATGGAGTACTAACTAATTCTAGAAATAGGCTTCACCTAGCTTCCTGTACATGATTTTGGCCTTGAGTCTAATGCAGAGAACTAGGAACCAAGTTTGTGTACCCTGGATCTTCTTAATAGATCTTTAACCTCTCTGAGATCTGCTGCATAAGACATTTAAATGTTTAAGTTTTCTGCAGTGAACTGTGGCCATTTTTAGCATTGACCTTTGAAGTCTCCAAAAAGATGATGGGGCCCCATAAAGATGGTTCCACTTGAATTGTGGTAATGCCATTAAGCTAACAAACACTACACAAAAAATTGTCTTTAAACTTCAAACTGCTCAGGACAATTTCAAAGTGGTTAGCTGAGATGGTTCAGCCTTATAAACTATCTAGCCAAGACTTCAGATAACCCTACACTTTCCCATCACACAGAGACTAAACAAAAAATAATACAGCTAGCTCTCCAGGATTTGATTATTATCCTAATTTTCTCAGGGCCCCCTATAGATGCTGTTGCCTCCAGTCAACAGGAAGTAATTTTAAGAAAATGATGCCCATGTTCCCAAGAGATGGAGTAGGTGGCTTCTGGTCATTCAATGGGTTGTGAATGTTTATCATCAATAGTTACTGGTCATGGTAAGGGAGGAAATTAAGCAAAAAGGTTAAATTGAAGGATATCTTTCTGAAAAAAAAAAAAGAGGTGGGTATGGAAAGAATAGAATAGATAGGTAGATTATTTAATCTACTTTAAACTAAAAGGCAACTATTAATTCAAATATTTTACATTGGTATGGATTTTTGTATATTGATATAAATTTAAGTTTATTTTTGTTAGAACATACTCTATATATGTTTCTACTCTTTCTTAAGGTATTATACCTTGCAGCTCATTTAAAAATATAATGTAAATTAAGGAGTACAAGTTAGTAGTCATCTACAATAATCAACCTTATGTTAAGTGTGCTTTCAAGGTTAAACAAAGATACATTTTAGATATATGGTTGGTCTTCAAACACTCTAGAGACTTACAGAATATGGCATTTTATATGTTTTAATAACCTAAAGCTTTTCATTACATTGAGACACTTCCACTTCTGGCACAATAATTTATTTCAAACAAGGATGATAGGCATTGAAGTACCTCTATATGGAGTTTGCTTTCACTGTAGCACAGTTAGCCACTGGGCAGGAAGCTGCCGTTGACTCCACTCCTGTCAGTATGCTATTCAAATTGGACAAGCGGGGTACAAAAGAAGGCGACTGCCAAACTTTGCAAGACAAGATAGGAGAGGCCCTGAAATTTCCTCCTTCACAGAAAAGTCTGTCAGATATTCTAGGCCTGTAGGCTGAAGATGGATGCACCAAAGTTTCAGAGAAAATGTGGTTGACTGTCCAGGTAGTCAGCCGCTTCTGTAATTTTCGTAGTTTGGGGAGTTGTTTGTTCTGTATTTCCTGTATTCTCAGTTAATATTATATCCTTCTCAGGATCTCTGAAGTAGTCGAAGACAAGATTAGTTTAGTTCCAATTTTTCTTGTTACTAAATTCAGAAAAGAAACATACAAAAGAGGTACAAGTTATATAAGATTGAAAAACAAAAAAGCTTAAATTGTTTATCGAAGAAAATGTTTTGAGGTCTAAAAAGATAGTTTTGGGTTAGTAATACAAGTTAAGATAGAAATGAATTAGGTACAAAACTTTGGATTAACCAAGATATGATAGATAATAGAGTGGTTTCTCTAAATTTGCTAACTACAATTGAACTGGACATTGTGAGTGTAATTCTTACTTGATAATTGTTCTTATTGTATATAGTTTCACTGTGTTAAGCTTAAAACATTTTTTTTATTTAGACAAAAGGGGGAAATGTTGGGGGACATTCAATCACACTGTAAACCTCAAGTTTGCCTTTGCATTGATTAAATAAAATAACCTTGGGTTAGAAAACTGAGTTAGCAATTAGTTGACAGAACATAATCAGAGAGCATCAGGGGGCATCCAGGAGAGACACAGAAAGTATTTGGGAGGGATTTAGAGTGGCACAGGTTTTTCTGGTTTGGCAGAGAAAAAGCAAAGTCAGAGATGCCAGCAAGGATGAGAAGGTTAGCATATTGCTATTCAACCTCTCTGAGCTAGCAGGTTTTCACCCTGGCCTTTAAATTTCAAGTCTTATTTATAAATAGAACAATAGAAATTTAGTTCAAGCTACCTTTAGCAGCAGCAACAGAGCTGATGCCTGGAACAGAATTCTCACCAGGCTATGGACTGAGTGACCAGTCCACTGCTAGAGAAGCAGGCTGGTAACTGCAGAGTTGCAATTGCTGGCTGCAATAGCAGTAGACTGGGGTGCAGCCTCTGTGCCAAAGTTAAAACAACACCACAGACTTTACAAAGTGAAACACATTAAAATTTCAGTGTCTTTAAAATATGCATTCTCTCTAAAAATCCAAAATCTCCTTTAAAAGTTCAAAGTTTTGCAGCTGTGTACTCCTTTAAAAATCAAAATTAAATACCTTCTTCAAGAAGGAAGAACCAGGCTACAGTCACAATCTGAACCACACAAAACCAACCTCCAACAGTATAAATAATTTAATGCTCAATTATCTGGGATTTGCTCATCATCTTCTGGGCTGCTCCAAAGAGCTTGAGTCACTTTTCTTGCTCTGCCCTCAGCAACAAACCCAGCTTGTCCTCCAACCTCCAGCTGGCTCCACTCCATTGCTACTGCCGCTCTTGGCAGTCATCATATGGTCCTGGCAGCTGTAAAACTCTAGGGTCTTCGGCGGCACTTTCACCAAGAGCCTGTCATAAGCTCTCTTCATGGTGCCAAGTCTCAACACCTTCCAATGACCCCTTCAGTGCTGGGCCTTCAACTGCCCCTGAGGTTGGACCTCGAACAATGGCCTCTTCTGGCCTTTCACAGTGCCAAGCCTCAGCTGTTCTCCATGACCCTCTCACTCCTTCAAAACCAATGACCCCTAGGTGATTCTTATACTATCCAGTTCAGCTGCCAAAGTAACTTATACCTTTGGTCTCCTATGAAACATAGCTTCTGTATGCTGACTTTTAGGAAACGCTTTCCAGAAGATTCTGCCTCCATGATGCTAGTCACTTCTTAATCACCACTAAATTTTCATCTCCAGCTGACCAATATTCATAATTCCAGCAAGGCAAAAGTTTTGGTTTAGTACTTCTGGTATCTCATTAACCACAGCTGATTCTTCAGCCCCAGTTAATCAGAATATCAGAATTTTAAATCAAAACAGGAAACATCCCTAATAGATTCTTTAAACTTCCCTCTGAAACTTCACAGGCAAGGTCTCCATCCTCTACACTGTTCTCAATAGTCTTATCTTAAAAGCTCCTAAAAGACATCACACTGAGTTCTGAACACTCAATGGATTTCCTTGCCCAGAGTTCCCAAGTATTTCTACATTTCTCCACAAAACATGGTCAGGTCTAACAAAACTATACTCCACTATGCTGGTATCAACATAGTTATATTTGTTGATATATATATATATATATCTGTAACAAAACACCATCACCAAAAACAAGTTGGGTAGGAAAGGATTAAAGTTGGCTTTCATGTCCATATCATAGTTCATCATCAAAGGAAGTCAGGACAGGAACTCAAATATTACAGGAACCTAGAGGCAAAAGCTGATGCAGAGCCCATGGCAGGGTTCTGCCTACTGCCTTGTTTCCCATAGCTTGCTCAGACCACCTTAAATAGAACCAGGGCCAGAAGCCCAGGGATGGCACTACCCTACATGATCTGAGACTCCCCCCCCCCACCGTCATTGATCACTAATTAAGAAAATACAGCCAGAAATTTCAGAGGTATTTTGTCAATTAAAGTTTTCTCTTTTCAGATAACTAGTTTGTGTGTTAACTCAACATAAGATTAGCTTGCACAGCAATTCTATGGTTTTTTTTGTTGTTGTTTTAGGAATAAATATTTTCACTTTATTAGAGTTTGGAGTGTTTTTTTTTTTTTTCAGATGCTACTTAAACCAAAGATTTTTCTCCGGCTTTACTCTCAGTTGTTCTGACAGTAAATTTATTACAGAACAACAAGCAAGGACTGGAGAGAGAGTTCACTTGGTAAAGTGCTAGTAATACGACCACGAAGTCCCAAGTTCAATCCCCAGCACACATGTAAAGGGCCAGGTTTGGTGGTGCATGCATAATCCCAGTGGTAGAGAGAAGACAAGCAGATCCCTGGCGCTTGCGGACCAGCCACTCTAGCCTACTGGGTAAGTTTGAAATCAGTAAGAGACCTTGGGTGAAAGAACAAAGTGAATAGCTACTGAGAACTTATACCCAACATTGACCTGTATGTAAATACACACACATGTACACATGCACCTGGGATGGGAAAGAAAGGGAGAGGGAAGAACATTTCTAGAAATATTCAAGATATACAAGTGGCAGAGTTGACTTTAAATTTTAGTGATGCAGAAAATAAAGAACTAGATAAAATGGAGCTGCTGTGCAAATGTTGACTGTTCCTGATTTCAGTAGGATTGCTTCAAGTTTCTCTTGATTTAGAATGATGTTGGCTGTGCATTTCTCATATATAGATTTTATTATGTTGAGATATATTCTCTCTAGTCCTATATTCTATGACCTCTAAGATGTTTATCATAAAGGCACATTGGATTTTATCAGAGGCTTTTTTCTATATTTTGGGACAAGTATTTTTTTTCCTCTGTGTAAATTTATATGGCTTATTGTATCATCAACTTGAGTATGTTGAACCATCCCTGCCTCTCAAGATAAAACCAACTTGATCCTAGTGGACAATCTTATTGATGTATGTCTGTATTGTGTTTACAAGTATCTTACTGAGAATTTTTGAATGTGTGTTCACTAGGAATATTAGTCTGAAGTTTTCTTTTTTGCTCTGTCTTTAATTGGTTTTGGTTAAAGTATGGATGCTTCAAGAATTCGTGTGTCATCCTTGCACAGGGGCCATGCTAATCTCTGTGCCATTCTCATTGTAATACATGTGCTGCTGAAGTGAGCATTACTTTTTTTTTAAGGTTAGAAACATTGCAATATATACGACTATACATACACTTTGGTATGTGAATATATACATGTATTCACAATGTTTATGAATTTGTATTTATCAATTTATCTACTGACAGACACCAGCCATTTGTACCTCTGAAATATTGTGAAGGGTGTTTCAAGGTACATAAATGTGCAAATAGCTCTTTCATATCCTGCTTCAATGGTTCAAAAACTTGCTCAGAAGTAAAATTGCTTAATCAAATGACAATTTTCTTATTAACTTTTTGATAAGTCACTGTACTTCTAAGTTTCCCATGGCGACTGCACGATTTTACATTTCTTACCAAGAGCACTTAAATATCCCAATTTCCCCATTCTCACCATTGTTTATTAATGTATTGTTTCTGATAGTGCCTATCATAATGAATGTGAGATGACATTTTGTTTCTTAATAATTAAGAAATATGTTTTCTTTTTCCTCGTATTCTTATCATGAACTTAACTTTCTATAAAGTGTTTAACAAAATTAATAACAAAAATCAATCACTAAAAAATAATTAGTAAAGGAAATATTTTTACATAAATTTGAACATAAAATAATAAAAACTTATACACTTCAAAAATACTCCATTTCAATTGCCACATTTTAAGTTCTATGTAGGACCACTAGTTCACAATGTGCATGACCAAGGAACAACTCAGCAATTTCCTTCTTCAAAATTCATCCCTTGTGAATATTTTCTGCTTCTTTATCTGATCCATAAATGCATGAGTTCTTAATTTAATCTGATGTCACTTCCTAAAGCTGGTTCAGAACGTTCTTGCTGTCTCACTCAAGGAGGTCAAGAGTCACTGAAACAGAAGGCCTGAAGATGAGGACATATTTATGGTTTAGACATAGCAATTATACTGTAGTCAAATTAATATTAAATGTATAAATGCTATATTCTCTCAACCATCTATGTATTATTTAATGGAATCTCTGGGTCATAAGAGGCACATAGCTTTTGCTACAGCAAAGCTGAGGCTCACTAGGTACACAGAGCAATTTGCTCAGGGAGAGTTAATTTTTTATGCATGTTTTGTGCATAAGTAAATTGGAATGTGGAGATTAGATCACACTCCAGCTGTTTCTTTGTAAATTGAGCTGTCTCCTATGCAATTCCAAGACAATAATAACCCCTCCATCTTCAGGGCTTACACATGAACACAGCAAGAATAAATAAATAAATAAATAAATAAATAAATAAATAAATAAATAAATAAATACACACACACACACACATATATATATATATATATACATATATATATATATATATATATATGGATATTAAACTAAAACACATATGTAAATTCCTGCAGTGATTTCCTCAGGCAATGATCCCCACAAATGCCTCCATTACAGGTCCCATCAAATGGTCCCTGGG